TATGGGAAACTTCATACAAACTTATCATTCCTTCAACATCTAAGGTAATTTTTTCACTGAAAGTTCCTTTCTCATCCTTGAACTTGTTGAACACATCTGTTGATGATAAGGGTGTATTAGTTAAACAGGAGCAAAAGCAAAAGAAAAAAAACCATCATTTTTTTTTTGAAATAGCCTATAATATTTTTAAAAAAAATTTTAACCTTTTTAAAAACAAAATCAAAAATGAAAATCCATTCAAGTAGATGCCATGTATTATATAGAGTTTGAGGTTAAATTCATTATTAGTAACTTATAAACAGTGCAGGTGCAGCTTTCTAATTGATAAGTATTAGAAAAAATAAGAAGGAAAAATCACTCCAAGGTCCCTTGTAAGGATTTTAATTACCAAAAGGTCTCATAAAATGCACAAAATGCTCTCAAATTTTAAATCACATGCAATTACAAGTTGGCAAAGGAAAATGACAACTATGATATGAGTTTAATATCAAATTGTCATTTTCTTTTGTCAAGTTGTAATTATACTTGATTTGGAACTTGGCAGTAATTTATACATTTTATGGGACTTTAAGGTAATTGAAATCTTTGTGTGGGACTTCTCAGTATTTTTCCCAAATAAAAAATAAAAAAATAAATTGTCTAACTCAATTAAAGACTGTCTAACATTAACCAACCCTAATTTAAGAATTGATTAAGGGGAGAAGGACAAAAAAAAAACCATCAAAATATGCAAGTGACAATTAAGTATCATGAAATGTAATGACTATTATTTAGTCCATAGGGGCTTGTCTGGCATTTTAATTTTTGAGAAAAGAACATATTTACCCTCAGTGACTATTATAGAAAATAACTATTTTGGTTGTGTTATTGACTAAAATGAAATAAAAATGACCACTTCCTTCCCGCAAATTTGTGATTTAAAAATAGATTTACAAAATGACTATTCCTTTATCAAAATAACGACTTTAGTTGCACTTGACTTTAGTATGTGTAATAACATAATAAAAATATGTCTATTAAATAACATACGCCAAGCAAAAAAAAATTGTGGAATATTTCTTTAAGAACTGAAATAAGATTTCTGGTGTTTATTTTTATATTGACATGGGAATCAAATTCCAAAAAGAAAAAGAAATTGGAGCACATCGAAAGCATGTATAGTGGCATACCAGATGAAACAGGACATCCATGCTGCCTTAGTAACTTGAAGAGTAGGGCTAGAGAATGGAGATCTTTAATATGAGTTATTTCATTATTTTCAACATAATCATTGTGAAGCTGCTTCAACACTCGATCAATCTCAGGTTCAAAATGATAAGACAAACCCAAACGTTGAATTGAATCAACCACTTCAGCTTTCTTCAAGAGCTTCTCCATGGTAGAAACAAGAATCTTCCTCACTTCTTCTTTCAATGTTTCAATATTTTTCTTCGTTTCATCATCAACTTCCTACATGTGTGGTTTGAATGAACTTGTCGTTATCAAGATTAATTACAAACACAGTAAAAATTAGCTACGGGTATTGAATTTTGTTTTATGTTATACGTTGTGCTTTAAGAACTATTGCTTTCTTTGCTTTGCTTGTAGATAACTGATAGGCAGGGGCGGAACCAGTCCTTAGGTTGAGGGGGCCAAATTTTTTTTTTTTTAATACACGCACATGTATGTATTGTTAAATTGACTTTTTTTATATTTTTATAATTAATTTTTTAAAAATAATTTACATGACCTAAAAAAATAAAGATCTTCAAATTTTATAAAATCATAAACCAATCTACAAACTTTAACATATAACAAGTGTTTCTAAATGATTTAAATAAAAAATAATATTTATAATAAAATTATGAGAAAATCACTTCCAGATATTACATAATTAATCTAATACATAAGATTTTTATGAAATTGGAAAATTACTATGATGTCCCATGTCCTTGATTGAAATTGTAAATCACTGTTAGACGGTAGTTGTTAATTATTGCCACTTAGTTGTCATCTGAACAACTTCACTAACAATTATTGAAAACAGTAAGTGGCAATTTTAATATAACAAAGTGATAACTTGAATAAAGACATGAGAATTCAAAATAATTTTATAATTTTATGGGGCTTTTCGTATTTAGATTAGTTGTTTGGGATCTAGGAATAATTTACAAATTTAATAAATTTTCAATTTCATCCCTATAAATATGCATGCTTTAATAACATACTTCTTTCAATAATATTTATTGAAGAGTAAAAGAGAAAACTTATGATACAAATTTAAGGACAACACTTAAAAATAGGACAAAAAAATTTATCCTGCCTTATAAATAGAATGTGAGGGAATATTACATAAATTTTGTACATCTTGCATCTAGATATATAAGGCCTCTTTTTTCTTTTCTGGAGGAGGGAGGGGCCTAAATATTTTGAGACCCATATAAATATATGGGAAGAGGAGGGGGGCAGCCCCCTCACCATACAAATTAGTGTGTGTATTTTTTTTTAAATCAATATATAACCTTCTTCTGGCCAATGAAAACCCAATCAATAAATCACATCCCTAAAATTATCTACTATAATGTCTCCCTAAAATAAGCACCAAATCCAAATCCATAAATATAATTAGCATTAAGCCATGAATTCTTTTCTTACAGGTGAAACGCATACACCCTGTATTAATATATGCAGAAACTTAAAATACAGGATGAGAAATCAAAATACAAAGACAGGCTGTAGCAGCGGTAGTTAATATGTAAAAAATAATAATAATAATAATAATAAAGAAAAACGAAGGCCAGGCCAATGGTGATTAAAGACTGATATATATATATATAGAGAGCGAGAGAGAGAAGTAAGGGAGGGAGAGAGGGAAGGAGAGATCTCTCCAGAGGACGACGGAGAGGAGAGGAGAGGGGAGAGAGAGAAGAGAGAGCAAAAGAAAAGTAAAATAAAACTATTGCTGGAAAATAAATGTTAAGAATATAAACCAAAGTTAATGATAATTTTATTGAAGAGGTTCATAAGAGAAAATTCTCTCCAAGACTCCATCCTTGAAAACTCTTCTACATTAATGTGTGTGTGTGTTATATATAAGTAGAAACATAAATACCAAATCGTCAGAAGCATATTGAAGGAAATAATCATTCCAAAGAGAAGGATGAAAATCTGCAGATTGTCGACCCAAATTGGATGTGGCATTAGTTTTAGGGCCTGAACGAGGAACAAGTAGCGATGAAGAAGCAATGATAGACTATTGTGGCTATCAAGAGAAGGGGCTTTGGGAAAATAAATGGAAAGAGTTTTACTTCATCATTAAAAGTGGGTGGAGATATTTATAGGAAACGTTGAAGAATTTGCTTAATTATAAAAAAATATAAAAACTCTAATAACCACATCATTATTTCAACACGTGAATTATACCATGAAGTAGAAGAGAATTTCAAAACTAATTTCAGCATGCCAAAAGGATCATACTCCCTTTGGTCCTATTTATAATTAAGGCAAAGAGAGAAGAAACTTTTTATTTTATTTATAAATCATATTATTAAATTTTTATTACAATTTTTTTTACCCCTCATTAAATGTTGGTAAGAGAAAATATGTTATTAAAATATTGTATGTTATTAAAATATGTATACTAAACAAAAAGCAAAGTTAAAAGCTTATTAAATTTTTAGACATAATTAATGAGTTTTAAACTTTCATTGATTTAGATAAAATTTATTGAAAATCACTTATAAATGAGATAAGAAGATGCAATTATGTAGTAAGGGGGCAAAGCTTCACTATTTCATTGGGAGCATTTATCCGATAACAAAGTGTATATGATATAGAATTATTTTTATCAATAAAAAAAATTAAGAGGAGATGAAATGAGACGAGAGAAAATGGAAAGAAGATAATGTGGAGGAAAAATGTTCTCTCTCTTTAGATATAAGCTCGTGGAAACATACATAGAAAAATAAAATTGATGATTTCACAATAATAATATTAATATCCATAAAAAAAATAAGTGAATCTCATGCCTCTTCTAGTCTCTTTTAGGTCGATTTTACAAAGCATATTTTCTGGGGTAGCCCAAGGACAGGGTTAGCCCCTAACTCAAAGCTTGGTCTGATAAACTTTGGGTTGGTTATTTAGACCCATGGTCCCAAGGACGTATCTACGTTGGGGATAGAGGGGGCAATTGCTCCCACTAGAAAAATAAAAATTTTATCTAAGTTTTAGTTAAAACTACACTTGCCCCCTTTAAAATTATTATTGCCCCCCATAAAAAATTAATTACCCCATATTCTCTTTAAAATTATCGAGCATACATATTTAAAAACATTGTTTACTCATATTTATTATAAAATAAATTTATGATGCAAATGACATTAATATATTTTTAAAATTATCATACGTTTTATTTATATATTATTTTTATTAATATTTAGAATTATATTTTCTTCAAAATAATTAATATTCATATTTAGTATAAATTTTGCCCCCTCTAATAAATTTTTCTGAATCTATCACTGCATGGTCCAGTCTAACTCGAGACAAACCTGAGCCAGAATGCACCAGGTTCTTGACTATACCACACCAAGCTAGAGCCATAACTCTAAAAGAATTAACACTAGCTAGGGAATGAAGAGAAAAGATTTGGGAAGGGCTGAATGGGATTGTGAAATCTTAAACTCGAAAATGTCAGTTGCGATGCCATAGGAAAGGATAACAAAGCTTGGAGAGTTTGCAAAGTTAGGGTGGAGAGGGAAATTGATGGCCGACGAAACTCAGACACGATGAAAGCTTAAGTGGAGATGGAGAGTAGAGAGGAGACGGTGAAGCTTGCAGGTAGGTGGTGAGTCAAAACATGAGGTAGCCAAGATGAAGGAAGAGGAGGAGAGAAAGGGATTGGCGGAAAATTAAAAACTTTAAATGTGAGTTGCAATGCTTGGGAGTATTACCACCACCCACACAGACTAATCCGAGCCACTACTGTATGAGATCGTTATTATCAATGACAATTTCACGAGTACCTCAGAATGCCCTTTAGCATATTTATTAGATATGACTGCAGCTTCATATTACATGACTCAAACTCGAGATCTTATGATAAGCTATGTAAGGGTTAAAATGCATGTTTGCCCCTTAAAGCATTCATCAACGTCCGCAATCCAGGCTCCCACTGCATTGTTGTCTCGTTGGCAACACTTCATTCTCTCTGGCGACACTAGCGGCACAACGCCACTTGATGGAGAGATCACACAAAGGCTGAAAGTTTGTGGAGCCGGACGTGCCTATGAGATCAGGTCCTGGATTAAGGGTCACTGTCGCTGCCATGTACGGAGGCTACAATGCCACCGGGGTGGTTTTCATGTCCGGTTTGTTGCTAATCTCTGTGCCAATCACTCCCTCTGCATCTTCTCATGTCACTTGCTTATCCACAGGCAGCTTCTGCTTCGCATTCTGCAAACACATGCCCATAAACATTTCAAGTGAACCAAGCTTTAGCGTGAGAGAGAATTGTCAAAGTTAAGAGGAAATAAAAAAACAAATATGAGATTTTATATTTACAGTCAGACAAAGTTGTTCTCTGCTCGTAAGGCAGAGTTCAAGCGTTGCAAGTGGCGGCCAAGTAGGCAGTGGAGGCTGCACCTCCTGATGTTATCTGGTTCCTTACTGTGGCTCTCATTTCAGAAGCTTGTACTGCACAAAGAAGAGACCCCATTGATGGGTATGCTACAGCCATATGCCAGTTTCAAAAGCAGCTTCAAAAGACACGTGAAAGCTTGTGGGGCCTAGTATATTATAATTTAACAAATGTTAGAGGCTCTTGACAGTTAGGGCTATTTTGCTTCGTTTTTAGGGGCAACATTGAAGGATACGTCGACATGTCAATTCTAGCGGCCCCATCCACACATGTACCATCTACGAACCCCTTACAAAACTGCCAAAAACTAGTTTCGTCATATAACATCGACATGTCATTTTGTTATGTACACAATAATTCTTTTTTGTTTTTCATATGTAGAAAATAATTCAATGTGCCCCATTTGGTCTCTGTCATAAGTTTTTAATCAGGTAATTAATAAATTTGTATTCAATATTATCAATCTATGTATTCATATATTATTTATCCTGGAGAAGAAATGACTATCTCTTAGTGTAGTTTCTATTTTGGAAGATAAAACTTTAGTTCCTTAAAATTAATCATATTATCGATTTGATTTTTTAAATTTAATTTTTATCAATTTAATCCCTTATATTTTTTTGAGTTATTACATTTATGTTATGTTTTCAATAATTTTTTAAGCCATGTGTAATCAATAATTCATTATGCCCCATTTGATATGTGTATGAAGTTTTAAAATATGTAATTAATAACCTTTTATTTAATATTGTCAATCTATATATTCTGATATTATCTGGCCTAAAGAAGAAATGACTTCCTCTTAGTTTATTTTTCATTTTTGATAATAAAAATTTATTACTCCTTTAAATTTTATTTCAGTTATTGATTTGATCATTTACATTCAATTTTTATCACTTTAGTCCCTTATTATTATGTTTATGTTATGCACTCAATAATCTTTTGGCCATGTGTATTCAATATGCCCCACCTGATATTTGTCAGAAGTTTTTAATTATGTTATTAATAATCTTTAATTCAATATTATCAATTTATATATTCAGACAGGGGAGGACCCATCATGAACATTTAGGGGGCCAAATTTGTTAGTGTACATACATACATTTATTTATTGTTATGAAAATACAAAATATAAGACAAAAACATTAGAATAAATAGAGATTAATGAAGAATACGAGAGAATTTGAGAGTAAATGAGAAGGGATTCCCATTCACTTAGATGTGGAAAATACATAGTAAATAGTTTTTATATATTTATAAGTTTCCAACTCTATCTAAAAGTTTTATTGGAATAAATTACAAGATTAATCAATATGAATGCACTCTATTTAATCTTTGAGTGTATGGTTTGTAACCATAGTCCTTTTTTTTTTCCTTGGACAATGAATTTTTGGGTGTTAAAATTGCTAAAAAAACCATTTATCTGAGAGGTTATGGAGTACCGAATAGCAAAATTTAAGAGTTGGGAGAAGTTATGGACACATACATGACACGTCTCTTTAACTGTCCATAACAAATATTATGTCTCATTAAAATTTTTTTAGAAAAGCTCAATAAGACAAAATCTTAATAGATGAAAAAGAATATACTATATATTAAAGTTGCATCATTAAAAACCTTATCAAGAAAATCCACTAAAACAAAACCTTGATAAAGAAAATACTGATAAGATCACTCTTGTTATTTCTTTCTAAATATATTAATAAAAGATATAAACATACCTGTATGCATAATTTTTTTCAAGCTTTTTAAAAAAAAATTGTGGAGTCAAGTGTTTAGATATTTCAAAAGTCCAGGTGATATAAAGGGAGAGGAAGAAGGTACATATCATACTATTATCCCAGGTTTTGAATTATCTATCTAGCTTTATATATGTATATATATATTTGTTTAGCATGTAGAGTTAGAAGAAAAGGTTGGGACTGCACACACACACACACATGAAGCAGTGGATTTGGGGCTTGTTCCGATGCCAAGTTAATTCCACATGATATCTCAGTTATTGATTTGATCTTTTAAATTTAATTTTTATCAAGTTAATCTTATATATATATATATATATAAATGATCATATTAGTCTAGTTTTGAAATACAAATTATCTCTCAAATTAATATTTTATATGATACATATATTGATAAATTAGCAAGTATATATGGCTAAATGAAAGAAAATTGACTTTAAAATCAGTTTAATTTTGGGGGGAAAAATGTTCACAAGTGACAGTCACAATCCAACTCGCGATCTCACAGTGTCGTCCATTATTAGAATCGAAACCAACACAAACGTAAGTATCTTTCACGTGCTTTGGTGGGGCCCATGCATGTGGCAGATTCCACCTTTACATATTGTGGAACACACATCACTTAGACAAATTGGGAAGAGGTCAAGGGGTCCCAACAACCGCTTGAGCCCAGCCCGTCCAATATATTTTGGCTATATAAAGATCATGAGAAATTTTATGTGGTCAAGGTAGAGTCTAACATAGTTTTAATTTTGTTTTAAATATGATCAAGTATTAAATATAAATATATCTTTTAATAAGAGTTTGAAATTTAGTTCACTATATTATGATAGATTAATTTTTTTCACTAGACCTAAATTTTATTAGTAAAGATAAAATATTTTAATTTGAAACATGACTTGCGAGTGTAGGCATGCCTGTTAATGTTTTTATATTAACATTTAAGTTATTATAAATTTATAATATAATTTAATTTAGCTTATACTTTTATAAGAATAATAATTTTTTTTTTTTGAGATTTTTCAAATTTATTTCTGTTATCAATTTGATTCTAGAAATGTAATCTTTATTAATTAAGTTCTTGAAGTTTTATAACCATACACAAATTTTTTTTCTTTTGAGAAAAAGATCAAGTTATAACCATAAACAATTAGTCCTTATAGTTTAAAGGGAAAATAACATCATAAGGAGTATGAGCATAAAATTTTAAGAATTTGATTTACATATATTAAACTTCAAAAACTAAATTTATAATTAAAAGGTGCATTTTGTCCAAAACTATTTTTTGAGGAGCACCCAATGTCCTAAACTATTTGTTATAACAATTTTGCCTAAAGTAATTAAAATGTAGCTTATTTTCCTCTAACATTAAATACCCCAACATTGTCCATTAAAAATGTTGATTGAGACTTAAGTCTAACTAAAAATGCCACATGTCATGCTAGGTGGATTCAAGTGAAGGTGCATTTTTGCCCTTTTATTCTTCAAGAAGCACCCAATATTTTAAACTATTTGTCATATAACAATTTCACCTATAAAATTAATTAAAATGTAATATATTTTTGAACCCACCTGACACGATAGGTGACATTTTTTGTCAAACTTAAGTCTCAATCAAAATTTTTAGCAGTCAACATTGAAATATTTAATGTCAAGGAAAATATAATACATTTTAATTATTTTAAGAGCAAAATTATTATAACAAGTAGTTTAGGAATTGGGTGCTAATCAGAAAATAGTTCAAGAATAAAAATATACCTTAACCATTGTTTTAATTAAATATTTACTCTAGGGTAACTAAAGGGCAAATTTATATATCTCTACTTTTTCTCTAGACAAATATGGTATTTTTAAGTTTTAGCATGAGCACTATTGCCATGATATTTTCAAAATGAGTGTAATGGAGGCCTAATATAACCAAAACTAACTTTGATTGTTAAATCACTCAAATTGACCAAAACAATTCACAGTTGGCAAGTTAAATGGGATGAGTAGAATGAAACCTTGGCTCCACGTATAACGTCTCCCTCATTGCAAATGTAGCTTCTTCATTCTAAGCTATATACAGATAGTTTCTCTAACGACTGACCATTAGTGAATCAAACAAAATAACACCCACAAGATTTTTTTCATCGATATTATTGATTTCAAATTTGTTCAACTTTACTTCAAGAAGAATATACATGCCAATTAATAGACGTTTACTTAGCCTATGGTCATTTATCATGTTTGAAATGACAAACTTTAAGGGGCCTAATAACACAATGTGAAAGTATTGCACTTGAAATTTGTCACGAGTTTCACATTGAAGAGCTTCACAAGTGGTGTGGAGTTTATAAATTTAAAGAACTCTCTCTCCTAATTGGCTAGTTTTTTGGAATAGACTCTCCCTTTGAGCTTGTACTCGTCACATTGGTGCTTTTATTGAGAGTTCGGTATCATGAAAAGGGCTACCCAGGGAAAATTCTGACCGACAGAAAGTTAAGTGAAGTGCCGTAAAGTAAAGCCGCCGAGGACATCGACTCTTGACAAAGTGACATTGTCACAAGTCCCACATCAAATAGCTTCACAAGTGGTGTGAGGTTTATAAGTGCGAGGAGCTCTTCCACCCAACAGGCTAGTCTTTTGGAATGGGCTTTCACTTTGAACTTATGCTCATCACATTAGTGCTTTCATTGAGAGGCCGATGTCACGAAAAGGGCTACCCATGAAAGGTTCTGACTGACAAAAGGCCGAGTGAAGTACTGTAGAGTGAAGCCATTAAGGACGTCGACTCTTGATGGGGTGCATTGTCACGAGTCCCACATCGAAGAGCCTCACAAATGGTGTGGGTTTTATAAATTCAAGAGGCTCTTCCTCCTAATAAGCTAGTCTTTTAAGATGGGCTCTCCCTTTGGTGGCATTGTCACAAATCCCATATCGAAGAACCTCATAAGTAGTGTGAGGCTTATAAATTCAAAGAGCTCTCCCTCCTAACAGGCTATTCTTTTGAGATGGAATCTCCCTTTGAGCTTGTGCTCGTCACATTAATGCTTTCATTGAGAGGCCAATGTCACAAAAAGGGCCACCCACGAAGGGTTCTGATCGGCAAAAGCTCAAGTGAAGCGCCATGGAGTGAAGCCAATAGAAACACCGGCTCTTGATAGGGTGGCATTATCACGAGTTCCACATTAGAGAGCCTTACAAATAGTGTGAAATTTATAAGTTTAAAGAATTCTCCCTCTTAATAGACTAATTTTTTTAGATGAACTCTCTCTCTATACTTGTGCTCGTCACATAACTAATGAATGTGAAACAAAGATTATAAAACTTTTGCACTTTCTTAAGACACTCAAGCGCAGAAGTGTAAACAATTCTAAATTTACATAACTAATCTTGAATTCTTGATTGTGTATGATTGTTATAAAGATTAGCTTTAATAACATTGCAAATCATAAAAAAAAAACATTTTTTAAAAAAATAAACTAGAACAATTAGTCAAAGAATTTATAAAAATCATAAAGATTACATTTAAAAAAAAAAAACTCCACTTCAACTATTATCTTCCATTATTGAATTTTTGCAGCTACCATTGGTTGAACTAGATCATTTTATTATCTAGCATGTTATCACTTATCAAAGCCCTCTCCAAGCTATTATACTTTCAAATCCAAACATAGGAAAGGAAGTTGTGTCGCCAAGATTTTAAATCCAAAGTATGGTTGACATCAATTTTAACTCAATATTACAATCATGACCGTTAAAGAATCACAAATATCATACATTTATAATTAAAATGTATAAAACATAATATAATATAAAAAAATTAACAACTTGCACTACTTGTAGCCATAAATAGCACAACTCATTTCTCAAACTCTATATATTGAAAGAGACGCACGCTAGTTTCATTTAGAGCCTGATATCAAACACAAAATTCATGTGTTTTATATATAATCAACATCACAGGCTTACGGTTTGTTCGCAGGGAACTGCATGCAATTTATGGAACATGAAATGCAAGTGTTAGTATCTAGCTAACTAGCTTTTAGTTCAGTGTTTCAGATGAGAAAGGCAAGATCAGTTAAATGACCAATCATTAACATCAGAACTCAGAATCTTCTACATCGTATGGACAATCTAAAAGCCATATACCATCAGAACATGAAAATATCAGAAGAGTCATTCTATCAGAGAAAAGATGTGTGCCAGAAACGTTTGATGGCTTCATGTGTGTTTGACTACACCACCCATCAAAGCCAGCATCTCCTCGTGCTTGGGTTGTGTTACTTTGAACTCTAAAGTCACCTATGAAAAATTAGTGAACAAGTTCATCATCAACTATTCTTGTGCAAGTGAAAGAAAGCAGCTTCAATGCTTAAAAAGGTTTAAAAAAAAAAAGGATCAATAATGCAATTTTCGAATTTTAGCTTCTTTTTATTGCTCACAAGTGTCATTCTATTGAAAGCAATCTTGTTCAAAGTATAGTCAGGTGCTAAATCCAAACGCCTTTCTCAACAAAGATTCAAACCTTGATCCGTCACATTATGAGAGACTAACCTCTTTCACTAGACCCAACTTCTGTTGGTTTGCTAGTTTTGGTTCATCTATTCAATATCAATGTAATATATAAAAGTAGAATTGGATACATGGCCTATCATTTGCCATCCAAAATATTATAATACAAAGTAACAAGCCTTATCTCACTAAATGAAGTTTGATTACACGGATTAAGTGATGTCAATGTGCTCAGTCAGCAACTAATTTTTCAAGTACATTATTTACCATGAAATCTTGTTTGACAACTTCCTCAATTGTTCTTTTTGGTCACTATCTGTATCTTTTCATAGGGATAAAAACTTTTCTTGTTCAACTCTTCTTACTCCCACCTCTCTTAGCCCTGTTTACACATGTCCAAACCCACCGATTCTTTGCTAGTTTCTCCTCGATAGGTGCCATGCCAATGTTTCTCGCATACAATCATTTCTATCTTGTTTTTATTGTATGACCACACATTCATCTTAATATTCTCATCCTTGCTTACCATCTTTTTTTTTTTTTTTTGCTATTGTTGTCTCTTCAATATCCAATATTCACTACTCTATGGCATCACTAGTCTCACAGCAGTTCAATAAAATTTCCTTCCAGCTTAGTAAGTACTAAAACCTTTACGCTTGGCAGGAAGGCACTTTGCAGTCACATTATAATTCAATATGATATCCAAAAATCACACGTAGAATATTACAAGGCACTTGAAAATCATACGCTTGCTCATCCCCTCTCATTTGTCAAAAAATTGAACCCACTGTAACTGATGACCAGAAACCCAATGCCAAGAAACATGATCTTTCTGGTGAACCACCAGACTTTCATTATTCTTAATTATTCTTCTTGAATTCGGGCACTTGGAGGTCAACCACCTAGGGCTCATCAAAGCCAGACTAACCTATCATCCTTACTACCCTCACAGTACTTTAGGCTTTGTTTGGAATTTGTATAGTAAAAAGTTTTACTATTTTTAGAAGCTTCCCTTCCAAGCATTCTCTTCCCCATATTTTCCTCCCTATCCAAACAAAAGGTTAGTAAAAAGACGAGAGATTTATCAGTGATTTGTACAAACAAGCATGTTAAGCAGCTCTAATTCTTGAGTAGCTTGTTGGTAAAAAGCTTTAGTGAGATTCATGTTTGCTTGAAGGTGAGATCTTTCAACTCTTAACTTCTCAAACACATTGAAGTAACCAAGAAAACAGTAACAACTATCTCTTGCTTTCAACCACCCTTAGGGATAAGTTCATGGATTTGGTTCTGTAATTACAGAAATATAAAATGTTCTTCACAGTTAACAAATAATCGTACTATTCCTCGCTAGGCCAAATCCCATATTCAAACTCTCTGTTTTTTTGCCCCAAAAATCCAACCCAAATGAACCCCCTTTGGTTGTTCCCCAAAGCTCTGGTATATCAATTCAATAAACTCCACATGATAAAAGACTAAGGATTGATTTAATTTGAATTCATGCTCTTGGAGAACTAACTTTAATTTAAAAAAAAAACTCAAACAACTCCTTCACCAAAACAATGATGATGATGATGATGCATGAAAAAAATGAAAACTCAGGTAACTCAATTGACTTGCTAAATTTCAATTATGGGTCATCCAAAGGCAAGGGCTTCTTAAATGGCAAAAGGCTCTCAACCTTCTGAGCCTCAGTCACAAAGAACTTGGCTGAAAAGTCTGGCAAATGAGAGAGAAGCCCTGATGGTTCAACTATGTGAACAAATTGAGACGAGTGATACTTTGGGCAAATGGAAGAGGAGATGGCTAGACATGGCTTTCAAGTGTTTCACAAATGATTTTTGAATTTTATTAAAGTTATTCACAGATCAGTTCCAGAAGAGTTTAACTGAAGCGTTTTTAATTAATCAATGGGGAAACTTAGCTTTAAATCAACAGAGACAAATTGATTTCTAAGCGAGGGAGACCAAAATTGTATTTAAGTCCTTGGACTTCCTTCTAGGAACATTTTAATTTACGCTTAAGTAGGAATATGTGCCTCAGATTTCCATTCCTCAACACATAACTTTATGAATCATATTGAATATGAAATTCACGAGCAACATCAAGCACTCAATTAATCTAGTTAGTTACCGATGGGATTAGCCATCCAAATCAGCCCACCCCTATTACTAAAGCCTAAAGTAGAGGACCAAAAGCACCAAAAGCAGAAACAGGATTGTTTCAATTTGAGAGTTTTAAGTTTGTCAATGAGGATTCCATCCACAAGTTGCACACAAAATATTAGTGTCCTAGAGTTTATAAATTGGTGTCACTTAAAGTACAGCACATATTCACAGACCACCACTTATCACCTGTGCTAAGAGGTTGGCCCAAAAAAAAAGTTGGCCAAAAGAAATAACCTATGCTAGAAGAAACTCACGTGTCCAACCATGATTTAGCATAATTTATTTTCATTATTTAGGGTTTATTTGCATGTTTTAAGTGCTCCTCAAGTTGAGGAGCCTGTTATGTTAGTGGTTCAGTCTGTGTCTCATTTTCTGATATTTTTATTATTTTAATTCAGCATGTTCAGGTCTGTTGTGCCACTTTTAGTGTCAGTTTCTTAGTGGTCCAGATATTCTAGAGAGTTTGGTTAATTCTTTAGCATATAAATAAGTTGTTTGATAGCATGTAAAGGACGTCTTTGATTTATAATCAGAAGTTCCTTATTTTCCCAGAGATTCTCCATTGACTGTTAGCTTTCATGTTCAAATTAAGTCTAGTGGATTTTTCTTCTCTATTCATACCTTAAATTCTCCAAGCCACATCTTCAGCCAAACTTTACAAGATGAACTAAAAAGTAGATCAACACAGTTACAACATGAAAAGAGCCATTCAATGATTGATTTGATTTCAGAGTAAGAATTTACATTTCTTTTAATGCAACTAATAACCATCAATCAATTAGTATTTCTTTCTAAACGAGCACAAGCATGTAAAACAGTTTAAGGAGGCCACAGAAATAAAAGAAATTCTCACCTCCTTGAAAATGTTGCTACATGAAGTTTGCACAAAACCCTACAGCAAACCAATGAGGCATGTCAATCTTCGAGAACTAAACAGCTATTTGTAGCTAGGAAAAAAATCTTTTTAATCCTAGAAAAGAAAATATCTGCCCATGAAACCCTGTACACTTTATTCAATCAATCTTAAATATATAAGAACACAAATATTTCAGATAAAGTATTCAGAGAAAGGGGATAGTCAATGGTCAATAGGAGGAACAATTTGTCCAATGAAAGCATTAACTTGTGTGATAACCATGCAGAAAAGTTACATGCATGATTCTAAGACCTATAGCGTTGTCTAGCAAACAGTATATGAAAATGAGGAAACGAACAAACCAATTTTTGGAACATGGTAAGGGATGCAGCATTTGATTCGCCGATTTTAGCCCGGAAGATGTTGATCCCTAATTTCTCAATTGCAAATGCCATCATCATCACAACAGTCTCCTTTCCAAGTCCTTTGCCACGGCTATGCTAGCAAAAAGCAAAGCTATAGAAAATGAGTGCAAGAAAATGTAATACTCTAAACTCAAGCTGTTACCATGACAGCACCACTTCCCTCTCTTGGAAGAAGTTCCAGTTCAAACCTGCCTTTGACATGTTTGTGTGTGTAAATGGATGTGTGTGCATCTTCCTTTCCTATGGGAAGGGCTAGGTTAGAGGTGAAATTTAAGGGGCGGAAATAACATAATATGTCAACTTTCTAAAATGTTTCATGATCTGGAATATTTTATACGCTTGGCTCAATATAAAGCTATTACTGAACTTGCATAAAAAAAGCCACATTCCAAATAATTTTGAAACATGTTTTCCAACCATTACCAATTAATATATCCTCTGTTTATTGTATATATGAAGTCATGAACTAGAGTCTAAATATGGTAAAGCAACTACCACATCTCAATTTACATAGATAGACAGAAGTCTTGCCTCTCTGTCTCTCTCACTAAGGACCCCCGCCCAAGAAAAATGGAATTCACTTGCTACAGAATGACAGAAATATGGGACAAAGACAGAACATGGGAACAGCTAAAAAACAAGTACTCTTATGAAAATATAAGGAAGGCCACCCAATTATGATAAAAAGTCAAGCCAAGTACCTCTTTGGTTCAGCTATCATTATCTCGATCTCTGCCATCTGAGGATCATCCAAGTCATTCATGAATATATTTACATCCCCAACCATAGCTGAAAAGGGGGCATATTATTAACTCCCTTTAACAAATTATTTTGAGGTTCTAAAATAGGAAATTCTATTGATATGGGTCAGGAAAAATCTATAGCTTTCTATTTTTCAAAAACCATCAAAGAAAAATATTTTGAAAAATAATATACATACCCCTCCTCATAAAATGAGCGATTACTATTATTTGCCAACAAGAATAAAATATGATGAACATAAAAAGGTAATGAATTTTTAGTAACTTCTGGAGCTTTGTTTAGCCAATGCATGATTCTTCTTGTAATATTCATTAGTAATTATTACTGTTTGTCAACAAGAATAAAATGTGATGGCCTAGAAGTGGAGGGATTTTCAGGTGCCTCTGGAAAAATGCCAGCAACAGTAACCTACCACGACAAGAATATGCAGAGAACATAATTCTGAAGTGCACACTATACAGGCACAGCAGCCAACTAAATCTAACTCTATTTTAAAATGGTTCTGTTTACATGCTCACAACATATCAATGAAAACTGGCGTCATGATACACCATTAATGAATTTACAAAAGGCATTTGTAAATATAGAAAAAAAAAATGAACTATATAAAAAACTATTCCATATTAGTTAGTGATAAACTGGCAGTGCTTGACTACTTGTTCTAATCTATGTTTTGCCAATAACAACATTGTAGAGGATTCAGATGGAAAAGTTTGTAGCAATTCTGGTGAAAATGTCTCGCCTTGGATGAAGACATTGGTCATAGGACTTTGATAGATAAAGTGATAACAGAAAAGTTTGTCAAAAAAAAAAAACAAAGAACAGCAAAGACAATAATGTGCAAGGGTTGGAATTTGCAGATTGGGTTGAATATCATAGAAGTCGATCAGAATATCCAGCTCTTCACTTCTGTGAATTTAGATATTATGAGATGAGAGAGATTACTGAAAAATGTAGTCAGTAGTTGTACTGATCTACCATCTATCATATTTATAGGGTATGCACAAGACAGAGCAGTGAATGAGAGATAATTATATTCACCTAACAACTACTCTAGATAGCCTTAGGAATATACAATAAATACAAAGAATAAATTCTAATTCTCAACACTCCCCCTCAAGCTGGTGTGTATAGATCGTATGCACCAAGCTTGTTGCAATTGTACTTTATTCAAGGTCTTGGAAGACCTTTGGTTAATATGTCTGCTAGTTGATCATTAGAGCTAATAATTTCGTAGCAAGACATCCTAATTGAATCTTCTCTCACAAAATGATAATCTATCTCAATGTGTTCAGTTCCATGAAACACTAGATTTGAGGTTTTATACATCGCAACCTGATTGTCACAAATCAAATCCATTCTAGTAACATTCCCATATTTTAGCTCCTAAAGAAGCTACTTTAACCAGATAAGCTCACATGTAGCTAAGGCCATGGCACGATATTCTGCTCTAGCATTAGACCTTGCAACAACATTTTGTTTCTAGCTCTTCCAAGAAATTAGGTTCCCCCAATAAACACACAATATCCTAAAGTAGAGCTTCAATTAATTGGGCATCCAACCCAATCTACATCGCTATACCCAACATTTTGAGTGTCATCTTGGGTGTCATCCTCATCACTATAACCATAGCCAATTATTTGAGAATTCCCCTTGTCTTTATATAAGAGTCCTTGACTTGGGGACCTTGATGTATCTAAGAATGCAAACTACAGCTTCCTGATGGCTATCACATGGAGATTCCAAGAATTGACTTCCACACTTACAAGGAAAGAGATATCAAGACATGTGAGAGTGAGATAATTGAGTTTTCCAACCAGTCTCCAGTATCTTTCTAGGTTTGCAAGAGGCTCCCCCTCTCCTAGTAGAAATTTGACATTGGATCCATAGGAGTTTCAACCAGTCGATAATCCAGCATACCTATCTCTTTCAGAATATCAAGAGCATACTTCTGCTGTAATATAGCAACTCCGGTTGATGATTGAGCTACCTCAATACCTAAAAAGTACTTTAGCTTGCCCAAATCCTTCGTTTAAAAGGATGTCATTAAATGACATGAGTTTAGAGATCCCATCCTGATCATTGCCTATAATAACAATGTCATCCACATAAACAACTAGATAAATGCATTGACTAGATGGTGAGTGAAAATATAATACAGAATGATCAACAATACCGATGATCGTTCCGAATTCTTGAAGAACCATGCTGAATCTACTAAACCAAGCCCGAGGAGATCATTTAAGTCCATAAAGAGATTTACATAGTCTACAAACCTTCTCAGACTCCCCCTAAGCAAGAAACCTAGGAGGTTGCTCTATATACACCTCTTCTAATTCTCCATGGAGGAAAGCAGTTGATATCAAGCTAGTAGAGAGTCCAATGATTGATGGCTACAATTGCCAAGAGTAAGCAAACTAATGCAATTTTGGCAATTGGCGAAAAGGTGTCCTCATTGTCAAGGCCAAAAATTTGGGTATAACTCTTGGCAACTAACCGGGCTTTTAACCAATCAATAGAGCCATCAAGAGCAAACTTGATGGTAACCACCCATCTGCAACCAAACAATGAGTTCTCAAGAGGCAAAGCCACTAGATCCCAAATATGACTAGTATAAAGGGCCTCCATCTCATCAAGCATTGTCTGCTGCCACTCAGGATGGGAAAGTGCCTCATTGACATTCCTAGGAGTGGTAACATAATCCAAAGAAAACACAAATGCAATATACGATGGAGATAAACAATGATAGCTCAAAAATTATAAATACGCTAAGGATTACCAGTAGAATGAGTACCCTTACAAAGAGCAATGGGGGCATAATTAGAAGGATGCAAGACCTAAGTAGGAGCCGGTGCTAGAGTAGGGGCAAGTCCATAGGTATATTACTAGGGCCAATCTTCGAGGAAGGGTGAAAGCGGCATTGATATGTATGAGCATGGGTGGTTTGTCGATTAGGGGCGAATCAAGGTCAAGAAGAGGTAGGACCTCAGACACAAACTGTTCAAACTCGAAGGAGAGAAAATAAGGAGAGATTTCAAAGAAAGTAACATCAACAAAGATAATGTATTTGTAAGAGACAAGGGGAAAACATAATAGCCTTTTTGGACCCGAGAGCACCCAAGAAAAACACATTTGATGGCTTTGACAGCAAGTTTGTCTTTGTCAAGAGTCAAATCATGAACAAAACAAGGACACCCAAAAACACAAGGAGGAAGGTCACAGGGGCAGAAGGAAACAAAGTAGAGTAAGGGATTGCATTGTTTAAAACAGAAGAGGGCATGCAATTAATCAGATAACAAGCAGTGAAAACATCGCCCCAAAAATGGTGAGGCAATTTAGAATGAAGGGTACAAGCGGCTTGAATAAGATGCTAAATTTTTTTCTTTCGACCATAACACTTTGCTGGGGTATATAAGCACATGAAGATTGATGAAGAAAACCTTGAAAAGATAAATAATGTTGAAATAGGGTAGAAAAATACTCCCTTGCATTATCACTTCGCGATCTAGAAATAAAAATACCAAACTAATTTTTTATTTCGACACAAAAAGATTGAAACATAGAGAGAACTTCTAAATGAATTTTTTTAAAATATAACTGAGTGCAACAGGAATAATCATCAATAAAAGTTAAGAGTATTGAAAACCAAGACTAGACATCACACGACTAGGACCCCAAACATCAAAGTAGACAAGTTTAAAGGCAGCATCAGCTTGATTATTTGACACGACTAGGACACAAAGACAAAGATTGTTTTCCAAGTTGACACGACTCACAATCAAGAGACTGTAAAGTTGAAAGGGAGGGAAGCATCTTCCAAAGTATGGAAAGATTAGGATGGCCTAGGCAATTGTGGACAAGATTTGGTAGGATGGTAGTGCAAGCAGCTAGAGATATAATAGGTGGAAAGTAGTAAAGTCCCTTGATTCATGCTCAATGCCAATCATCAGACCCAAACTCCGATCCTACTAGATAATAGAAACATCACTAAAGATATTCAAACAATGAAGAGCACAAGTGAGTTGACTAACAGAAACAAGATTGTAAGGACTCTTAGGGAGATAAAGAAATTAATAGAAAGAGAAATGGAAGCCTGGCCAATGCCTTCTAACAACAGTGGGAGAACCACTAGCTGTGATAACTGCTAGAAGGGAGATGGAATCAGTAAAATGAGATGAGATTCTTGTTACTAGACATGTGAGTAGAAGCACCTAAGCCAATAACCCACAGTCTAAGGGAAGAATGAGCAAGGCAAGCAATAGAATTACCAGTCTAGGCAACAGAGGCATTTGTCAACTTGGAAACAGAGGTACTCTTCATAGTCAGCTCTAGTCAAGAGTATAGAAGCAAGTGGCTGCCCGTCAGTGGGAGTGGAATAAGTCTTAACATTGGTAATATGAGAGGGTCACCCATGAAGGCTGTAACAATGATCTCAAGTATCACCCAACTTGTTACAATAAATGGATCGAGGATGTTTTCTAGGACCAGTACATCCACCCCTACATTGAGTAGAACTTTGAGAGACCAAAATTGAACCATTAGAAGTAGGTTTTGGAGAAATCATATTGTTAAAAGAGACCCACACAAGATGAGCAAGGACATCATCCAGAGCTGGAAGAGATGATCCACCAAGAATTTGCTCTCGGAGATGACTAACAGTAGGACGAAGATTGTATGAAGTAAGAACCATGAATAGTTTGTCCCACTCCTCTTCCTAGACATCAAAAGTAGTAGACATTAGAGAGTGAAATTCTTGGCGGAGGGACTCATGCGGCTAACATTAGTAGTATCATCCATGTCTTCCAATTTCAGACTAACAAGAAAGGTAATTACATCAAAATAATGGTGAAAATCATTGCTGTATAAGGTGGCAGCCTTACTCCAGACAACAAATCAAGTCTCAAAAGACTGGTAAAGAGGAAGTAACATGGGATCAATGGAATTCCATAGCAAGGAGCACAACTGTGCATCAATATTAACCCAAGCAGACTGCTGAGCCTCAAGAATCTCTACTTTCCACTGAGTCAAGTGATCCAAATGTCCCTGTCCTTTGAACCAAAGACAAACTGATGCAGCCCAGGACTTGTAACTTGAAAGCCCACGTCACTTCTCAATGGTAATCATAGGAGTTCCACTGAAAATAGAAGAAATGGCACTGGACTTACAATCTAAAGCAGACATCACTAGAAAAAAGTGAGAGGCTGGAATGAAACACAACCCTAAAAAATCAGAGGAGTGGCTCTGATGCCATGTGAGTTTAGAGATAATGAGATGAGAGAGATTACTGAAAAATGTAGTCAGTAGTTGTATTGATCTACCATCTATCATATTTATAGGGTATGTACAAGACAAAGCAGTAAATGAGAGATAATTACATTCACCTAACAACTACTCTAGATAGCCCTAGGAATATACAATAAATACAAAGAATAAATTCTAATTCTCAACAGTTTCTAATACAACTCAAGTGTGTGATCTATTCTACAGAATTTTATGGGCGTCCCACCAACAAAAGCTCTACATTAAATAATTACTTTGCAAGAAATATTATTCTACAGAATATTATGGGTGTCCCACCAACTAATCATGTGCAAAGGCATGTCAAGTAATCTAGTGGATATGGGCTATTGGGCCAATGCCTATGTTGCAAACTTCTTTTAAGTATCCATGTGGGATAGGCAGAATATATTAAATAAGAGAAGAGGTCGCTAGTTCAAATTGAGTCATATAAGTCCAATGTAGCTACTGATGATTGCAAAACTTTGTGTTTGTTAAATCTACCTACTGGCAGATTGATAAGTGCTCTTGCTTCCTTTGTTTGCAATGAACATGTATCAGGACAAAAAGAAACTGCTACAAAAACTTCTATAAAAAAATCAACATAATAGCATTTATAAACCTGCAAAATACCTAAAACAAATAAGTTGCTTGAAAGAAGAACACTTCTCTGTAATATATACTGGTTTCCCAAACATTAACAGTACATCCAAATCAAACAAATGATACAATATTGAGCATTCGAGCAGTAATAATTAAAATGAAATAGGAGACATATTTGTTGGAACATGTAATCTGAGGAACATGATTACTCCAGATGGGGAGCATAAGAGCTATCAAGTGAAGAATTTCTTTTCTCTTTATAGAATCAAAAGCAAATCCAGCGAGTCACAAGATGAAATTCTGTTCCCCTTTTCACTCTTCAATTTTCTCTCAACCTAAAAGAATTTCAAAATTATGATGGGTGAAAATTTAAGGTACCTTCAACATGGGGTTCTCCATGTGTAAACTCTCCAACAACCAAGTCCTTATCCAACACAATGAAGGTTTGCTCTGTAAAAAAACCAGCCATAGCTCAGGACATCAAAATTGAAAGATAAAGCAAAAACTCCCCTGCCTGATGACAATGTTTGGAAATAAAGCCATTTTTCATATTGTTCATGCCAAGTGCAAGGAAGTTTTCCCCAAAACAAATTGAAATAAAGAAAAAACAAAAAACAAAACCCAATGCACAAACTGTCTTTCACGAATGTAAACAAAATGGGATAGAATACCCATTAAGAAACCAACTCTGGAAAAACCATCCACACTCTACTCAGTACATCAAAATTCAGAAATAAATGGAAAGGATAAAAACATCGGATGAAGAAAACGTTTGAAAATACAGCCATTTTCCTTAGTGTTCAATTAAATAGACATTAACTTCCACAAATATCCGCAAAAGGGAAGAGAGAAAGGAGAAAAAGAGTAACTGTCGGGGTCTTGTGACCATGAAAGCTGCATCTGGTATTCCTGATCGAGGGTAAGGGGCTCAGACCCTGTAGCTTCAAGAAGTGACGGGTCTTGCATCCACTGGTGATACTTCGGCACGTGAGCTTCCGTGTATGGCACCAATATCACTTTCTCTCCTTCTAAGCTCACTCTCTCCTTGCTTCTCTCCTGAGTGCGATTCAAGCCGCTCTCAAGCTCCATAGCCATGGCCATGGCCGAAAACAAGGGTCAGCTAAGCTTTTGGCGAGCATTCCCGAAAACCGTTTACTTTTGAAAAAATAAATAAATAAATTCAGTTTTTGCCTTTTGGCCATTATGGGAGTGAATAATAGAGGGATAATTCGAGCCAGTTCCGATGGATTAGATCGATTCCGTCTGCAAAATTTTAACGTCGGGTTCAGAAAGAAAAAACATATTTTTTCTAGAATAAGTTTAAAAAATTCGAACCAGGATCGATCATATTCAAATTTTACTCGAATATTCAAATAAAAAATATATCTTTAACCTGAATAAAATATTTTAAATACATAAATTTAAAATGTGGCATTTGAAATTTAAAATTTAAATTCAAATTCACCAATTTGAACACTACCCAAGAGAAAAAAAAAAAAAAGAACCAAAATAAATCCTTTCATAATATTCAAAGGACCCAAAGATTAAAGTTTAGGATTGAAAAACCTTATGAAGTAACTTAAAAAGCCTTAAGTTATAAACTTATCCTCCAAAGTTTTCTCATATGATAATTCTTGATACTGAAAAGGTATTTTAGAGTAGGTTTGATAATAGAAGTGAAGTGAAAATTCCAAACTTTGGTACCAATTGATACAGAATAGGGAAGAAGAAGGGGGAAGATAATATAAAAAAGAGAGAAAAGGAGTAAAGACAATATAGTGAGAAAAGAGAAACTCAGAGAAAATGCAAGATAATAGTAATGCTCAAATGTTTATACCAATTAAATGAGTTGAGGTATTATTTAAAAAAATAAATGTATGAATTTCCAAGAAATTCTAAAATTAAATAAAAAGATAATAATAAATGAAAAGATAATAATAAATGCGGAAAGATAATAATAATTTAAATTAAAAAGAAATAAGCAAAGATATTATAAGGATATTATAAATTTGAAGATCGAAAATATTTTACTCTCATATTAATTAGGCATATTTTATTTTATTGTTATCTTTTAACATTTATTATTATCTTTTTATTTAATTTTAGAATTTTTAGAATTTTCACGCATTTATTTCTAGGATTAGATTGAGACCTATAAATAGCAACTCAACTTATTTGATTTGTACGCACATTTGATTGAATAAGAATTACTATTATTTTGCCTCTCCTCTAAATTTCTCTCCTGAGAGTTTTGTTTTATTTTTATTAAATTTTATGTTTTTTTTGTAATTTTTTTCTTGAACCTTTTATGTAATTTTCTCATATAACTTTGTAAAAAATAAGCACTAAGTCAACAATGATACATGAGTACCTTTAACTTTATAAAAGCGGCTAACCAATCCCTAAATTTGGGTAATTCAAGTGAATAGACTTATTTAAGATGGGCTTATTTGAATCAAATTTAAATTACCTAAATATAAAAAAGGCCAAATAATCGAGCCTAGCTATGACACCTCGAGTTTTTAGAATGCTCGTATACCCAAATTATTGTTAACTATTATTTTATTTTTCTTTTTAGCCAATTTTAATTTTCATCTTAAAAATTTAAGATTTTTAATTTTTATCTAATTTTAATTTAATTTTATTAATAATAAAAAAGAATTTAAAAATTTGAGTTAAGTTCATTTAGATTCGAGGTTGGTCCAAATTTCTTCAAGCTTATTTTGACAGCTTGAATAAGCTCAAAATAAGGAAAAAAATTATACTCCCAAGCTCGCTTTAATATTTTTGAAGCTTATTCGGGTTAGTTTAAATTACCAATTTTAACCTTCCTCAATCCATTAAAATAATTTGATGTTGACTATTAAGTTTTAAGGATGAAACTTAACAAATTAAAAAATGTTAGCCTATTTTATAAAGTTAATTGGTGCCATATGCACAATTTTTGATTTATGGATATAGAAAGCTTTTGGAGAAAAAGTTTATAAATATTTTTACATTTTATCTTTTTTTAAAACAGTTAATATTAACGAACGTCAGTCAAACTTAATAGTTTAGGGAAAGGTGCCCTTATTAGAAAGAGTTCATGCATGCTCCATGTCAAAATAATCTAATATATAAAGTATATTGATGATTTGGCATGATGTAGCCAAATGAGAATAAATTATTTCTCAAATGTATTTAATTTTTTTAATATAATTCCTTACAATGTTTTTTACTCCCCTGTTTTTTAAAATTTTAAAGTCTATTTTTTTATCTAAATAATTATACATCTTTTTATTAATTTATATGGTTACCATCAATATTTTATTATCCAAATTAGAAAATTTTAATAGTGTAATCTCTTTTAAGGATTGAATAGATAATCGAAATAAACATAAAGGACTAACTTGAGAGAAATTAAATTTTAGATATCAAATTGATAATTGAGATAATCTTAAGGGCTAAAAGTTATAATATCCCATAAATAAATAAATGGCTAAGCAGAACTGTACCGTTTCCCAAAAAATGAAAAAAAAATTAAAAAAAAGAAAAAGAAATTGAGCTTATTTCACTTTTTATAATGATTGAAAAGCTAGTTTAAATGTATAATGAAAAAATATGAAAAATATCTTTTTAAAGCAAAAATTGTAATTTTAAATTTAATATTTTTTCTGAAAAATATCAAATTAGGCACAAAATATATATATATATATATATATTATGTTCATTTTTGTTATTTTATATCTAGAATAACTTTTAAATCAAATCATTTAAATAAATTTCAATTTATTTAACTTACTTCTAAAAAAAAAAAGTATCCAAACATAAATTATATTATAGTTACATTCTTTTTTTCTACCTTCAGCTTACTAACCTTATTAATTCCTGATCTCAATTATAGATTTTTGAATCCATACATATACTAAGTAGAAATATATCCTCTTCTTCTTTAATAAATAATAGTAAGTTTCTTCTTTAATTTCCCTTTGCTCTAGATATGTGTTGAACGTTAATAGTTTTTGTTAAAAAAAAAAATTGAGGCGCCCTTTAATTTGGTTGGAGAAGCTGAATATAATACTGATTGAATGTTGTGTTTAAGGTTGAAAATATCAAAAGTATACCAACAAATTTAGTGACCGGTTTCTATGCTCATCTCAAGAATGAGCACCATATACTCATCCTTGAGATGATATCTGAACCATCTAGATTTTAATTTGAATGGTCCAGATTTAATACATTATTATATATTATATTTTTTAAAATAAAAATTTATATGTTTTTAATCTGGTTAAGATTTAATTTAGCGAGTTCAATTTAATATTAAAATTTTTATAATTGATATATATTAATTATTCAAATACACTCTACATGATAATTAGATCCTTAAAAATTAAACCTAGACCAAATTACAAATAAAAAATTTATTAAAATTATTTTATAATTTTTATTTTAGTAAATATAATAATATAATAATATTTTAAATATGGATCATTTAAATTTTAAATTTAGATAATTCAGATTTTATTTTAAGAATGATCAGGGAACTCAATTCACAAACTCATTACCAGCCCACTGAGTGACACGCAATTATTGCGAAACTTGGAATGCCTCAAGATTGGAATAACAATATGATCCACAACTTGGATAATGTCTCCTTTTATGACACAACGCAAAATCAACACAATATTCTTGACTACATATAAAGAAGAGACCCAATCCTCCGCTGGTCAAAGAAAACAAAAGAGACAAAAAGAGGTCCAAATGATCTCTTAAAAATATTTCATCTCTCAATTAAGTTACTAATCCACTTCATTTTTATAATAATTCAGAGAGCTGAAAAATAGGCGAGCTTGGCCCTTATAAGCCTGACTCTTAAGGGCTCAGGCCCTCCTTAAGTTCCGTTTCTTATTTTTCATCCCTCTTCTAAGGTTCAGCCCTTATTTCAAGGGCTCAAGGCTAAGCCCGTAAGCCCTATTTTAAAAAAATTAAAATAAAATTAAGCATTATAAATTAATTAAAATATTTTAAAATTTAAAAAATCAAAATCCTTATAATATTTTAGACATTAAACAACACACATTGAGAAGTCTAATAAGAAAATTTAAATTTGGTTAAAAAATAGTTCATTTTTTATAAATACACATAAATAATAATTATAAAAAATAAAAATATCAAAATTTTTATATTGTACATTGATATTTATTAAATTATATTAAATTAATTTTAGAATAAATTAAAATTAATAATAATGTAATGCATGTAGAATCAAGGCTTCAGGTAAGCAAGTCATTCTTAGCTTCAAATGCATGTTCTATCAAAGAAAAAAATTAATAATAATATAACAAGGTTTAAAGGGTTGCTTAGGCTCGAGCTCTTTTTTACAGGACTTATCAAAGCTAGGCTCTCAGCCCGATTACTTTAAAAAGATTAATTTTTAAAGTCCAAACTCTTATTTAAATAAGATTTCTAAATCCGACATTTATTTTTGACTCTACTAATCTTATGTCCAAACAGGTTCCCTTTTTGGTCTCACTCCATTTTGCTGCTTTCTACAATGTTATCTGATTGCTGTCCAAGTAAATTGACACCTTCATGCTCTGCTTCTGCACACTATTTCAAATTTAATTACTGTGTGAAGCATACTCGTACCACAAAAAAGGAATGGTTGATATTTATTTCTTTTTGTTGTGTTATTCGTGCCATGAAAATTAAGCATCTTATATTTAATAAAAGCATTTTAAATAAAAAATACTTAATTATTTGTTAATAATTCCTTTTGCAGGCTTTTTAGGGAAGAAGAAAAGTCGAATCTTAATGCTTCACATATTAACGTCCTATCGAATACTACCTTGTTATAAGTTTCTCTATCTGAAAGGACCAATATATGTGTGTCTATATATATAATTTATAAATTTATAATAAGCTATACGATTCATAGGGTATAAATAGTAAAACTTACATCAAGCTCTACACCAAACATGGGTATATACTACAATCTAGTTTGCCAAAAATCCCTCAACGTTTCAATTTCAAAACGTCAATTGTATTACAGTTTTCATAATTTTCCTGTTTTCATGAGCACATGCTTTCAAGGACATGTTTTTCTGCTCACTAGTTCAAAACCTTGTGCTTAAACTAGCTTCTACCCTTGTTGTATTGCAAGGAAACTTCTAAAAAGGTG